ATGGACATAGCCTTCTCCTTTTTATCCCCGAGGGGCAGACGCATTTAAGTTGCTGGTAGATGTTTTACTTTCCTGCACAAGAAGACCTTGAAATTCAACCTCCAGTTGAGTGGCCTGGATCTTATTTCACTCGATGGTGTTTCCTTTTATTGCCTTTCAAACTGTGAAGTTTCAAACTATTAAAATCTGGAAGAAAAAAAAAAAAAAGACAAACTTCACTCCTTAACGATGACACACTTCCGTGGAAAAATAAACGCAGAATCCAAAGAGAAATGACAATATGGGGAGAACAGTTGCAATCTTCCTCATGAGGGCTGATCTCCCCAGTATATAATGAACTCCTAGAAATCAGTAAGAAAATAATCCAGCAGCACAATAAAAATGGCAAAGAACAGATGGTTCAGAGAAAAAGTAACGCAAATGGTGCTTCACCGTAGGAAAAAAATCTTGCAAAGAAAAAGCTGCATTGAAATATCTTTGTTCACCAATGTGACTGACAAAATTGAATTAGGGAAGACATTCTATTAGCTTGTGCGTCGTGGGATATGCATTTCTACACGTAAAAGGATACCCATCTAAGCGGGGACCAATTTGGAAATATCTATGAAAGCTACAAATGCATTTACTTTTTCACCTGGACATCTCACATCTGGCCATTTATCCTGTAGTTATTCTTGCAGACAAATATAAAAAATGTTTGTAAAATATTTGCGTTATCTGGGGGTAGCAAAGAGATTGGGGAAAGTCCAGTGCCCATCAGGAAGGGACTGGATAAATGATCTGTGATACACCCACCAAATGGAATATTGCTCGATGCTAAAAAAAAAAATACAAATGTTTCATGATACTACAGGAAGCTCTCTAAGATACATTGTTAAGTGGAAAAAAAGCAAGCTGCAGATTAGCATTGCTGTACATTGCCTTTTGTCCCGCGAAGGAGGGGAATAAGAACTGCTTGCTTGGTTCTGCATAAAGATACACCAGAATGATACAAAAGAAACTGATCAAAGTAACTGCCTACTAAGAATGGCCAGAGGAGACAGAAACAAGGTAGAAGTAAAAGTAACATTTTTCAGTTTCAACTTTATTGTATTGTTTCAGTTTTTGAGCCAGGTGGCTATATGATCTATTTAAAATGAAACTTTAAAAATTGAAAGAAAATACAAAGAAAACATTGCTTTAAGTAATATTTTGAAATGTGCTACTTAAAAAAGAAACCTACTTGTGTAATTTACAAACTCATTATTTTCTCCAAAGAAGATCCATTTACCTAAGAAGATATGTTATGGTCCCGACTTGACATACTGGGTCCCCAATCACTCAGGAAGCTTGTGAAAAATGCATATTTCTCAGTAGTCCTTAGGATACGTTGTGTTAAAAATCTTGGGGCGCCTGGGTGGCGCAGTCGGTTAAGCGTCCGACTTCAGCCAGGTCACGATCTCGCGGTCCGTGAGTTCGAGCCCCGCGTCAGGCTCTGGGCTGATGGCTCGGAGCCTGGAGCCTGTTTCCGATTCTGTGTCTCCCTCTCTCTCTGCCCCTCCCCCGTTCATGCTCTGTCTCTCTCTGTCCCAAAAATAAATAAACGTTGAAAAAAATAAATAAATAAATAAAAATCTCTAGTATTGGAGTTATTATGTATTTCAATAAACAAAACAAGCACAAAATTACCCCGGGTATTTCCATTTCAGCACGGTGCTTGGGATGCCCTGCTTGTCCCCTGACCAGGAAAAGCACAGGCGCGAGCCATGAAGAATGTCAGAGTGCTATCTGGTGGTGTCACAAGCTGGGTACAATAGTGTGGCTCTGAGAATTTAGGGAAAAAAGGAAAAGACAGTCTGTGCTTCTTACTCACGAACAGTGCTGGATCTCACAACACTCTGCCAATAACCTGAATAAAAGGTCACGGATGGCGTCTATCGAGTGGAGAGTGGCAAGCTTCCTTCTTTATTCCTTTCCCACACCGAGGATCTCTTTCGTCGATGTAATGATTTATTTTCATCGATTTCTGTTTTCCTGCCTTATTGCATATCAGTAATATACCCTCTAGGTAAGTTTCCTTTCGGCCATTTAGCTGGGGACTCTCCCCCACACCGGCCTTACAAAGAATACCGCTCTGCCTACTTCCAATCCTGATGGAGTTTGCCCTCCCCCCCCCCCCCCCCCGTTTGCTACTCAGTCACACTGTCAGTGTGCGTAAATGCCCGTGAAGTTGTTTTTTTTTTTTTTTT